CTTTTGGGCCCAGCAGAGCGTATGTCCTTTCCCTCTTTCCTTTCGTATTCCCTAAGTCAGATTAGTCCTTCTTCAGCCAATGGGAAAATATTTCCCCCATTTACATTAACTGGCTTTTGAGAAGTGTAATTGCCATGTCATACCATAGATGTGGCTGCCGAGGCTCTCCATGGGTTTTTAAAAGTAAGTGACCCAGAGCTAATCAGGGAAGAGCACAGAACTTGCACGTGGAGCCGAGGGATCCACACTACTGTTTACGGATGGCGCCACACCATTTACCCCATCCTGCCATTAACTGCGTCAGTTCCAGGTCACTAACCTCAGGATCTAGGTCGTCAAGGACATTTTCCAACTGTTTTAGTTCCTCTTCTGAGAGTTTGCCAAGAAGCTCATCTTCATCAATGTTCTTGTATTTCTCCAGCTCTTTCTGAAAAGGGAGCGCCATGGTCTCTTACACGCCTTTCTCACGGGCCATGAACATTTAAACGTGCCAGCTTCTGGAGACTTCAGAATACTACTAGGAAGAAAGAAACACTGCTATCTCCTTTCTGTAAACAGAGCCTATTAGCAGGAGACAGGGCTATGCTACCTGCCCATGGAGTCTTTCCTCTAGACAGATAGTCTAACAAAGTAAGTAATATTACCTTCATTTGCAGGGCAGCCCGACCGCTTACAAAGTGTTTCCATATTTATTATTTCACTTATTTTGATCTTTACAATGACCTGGAAAGGAAGCCTGGACAGGTATCAATATCCCATTTTCACAGATGAAGATTCTGGGGTCAGAGTGGCTGAGAGCCTAGCTCGAGGCCCCAGAGCTGGGATGTGCCAGGCCCTCGGAGTCCCTGTGTAGTGAGTGCCTTTCCACCATACTACTCTGCCTCCCCCTGCTTTCCACAGAAAATAATGAAGAACAATGCACTAATTGTACGGCAGTTGTAAGAAGCATACTTGTGTCTTTTCAGAGGGAGAGTGATGTGAAGAATACAGAATGGGGTTCATTCAGGAAAGAGAGTTTGGAACGTCCATGTGAGAAAGCATTGTCGAGAAACTCCTCTGTGATTAAACTAAGTCAGAGTCTAAAAGCCTGGCTACTGTCTCCACTCTTCTCTTTCTAGCCCCATTTCCTTTCTGTTTCTTTAGACACCCTCTCTGATTCTTTATACCCTGAGTCCATTCTTTTTTTCAACCTCCTCCTTTTACACTACCTTATTTCTAAACTTCCACACTAAATGAAATTTTTACCCAACCCCTTTCTTCTTGTAGAGCCTTTTACAGATCGTCCCTAGAAAGAGAATACTTTATTCAGGAAATACCAACGTGCTTAACCGATTGTGTTTCTCCTCTGGCCATATCAACATCAAGCAGATCTTTCAAAGCAATTAATCCTTGCCATATACCTACTGTTTGCCAGGCATGGTTCTAGAAAACAGGAATACACAGATCAGCAAGATATGGCCCCTCCCCCACGGAGATCACAGCTTAGTGAGACACACAAAAAGGGATACCACCACCTGAAGAGTGCTATGGTCTAACACAGGCTTAAAACACATGAGGAAATAATCATTGGATAAGGGGAGTTTGAGGGGCAACTGTGAAAGAGGCTGTGTTTGAACTGTGAAGGAAGAGGTCATAAGGTGGATGTGGGCAGGGGAGGGTCCTTCCAGGAAAAGAGAACAGCATAAACAAAGGCACAAAGATAAAGCATAGGAGGTGATGCTGAATGGCTGGTGTGACTAGAGAGGACCATGTTGAGGAGGGGCAGCGGGGAGAAAAGAACTAAAGACAGGAAGGGACATCTGGGAAGGCCTTTCCCTATGGGCTTTATTCCGTTGGAGATGGGAGCCACTACAAATTTTTAAAGTGGAGGAATGGTCTGAGAAGCCCAGTTTCTAATAAGGCAATTCAAACAGTAAGAATGAAAGATGGGTTGTCATGGAAAGAGATTAGTTGTAGGCGGGCCACTTAAGAGCTATTAGAAGGTTGTTCCTTTCTCCTTACTTCAACTGCTCACTATGTTCAAGCTTGTGGTTTTCTATTTTCGTGTTTTTTCCTCATACAATGTAACTCTCTTTCCCTCCCATCAGCCCACCTTCTTTTCAGCTCCAATTGCGATATTCCAGTAAAAACAAAAACAAAAACAAAAACAACAAACAAAAAGCTCCCATTCCACTAAAGTCAGAGAAACCAACTGGATCATACACACTTTGTTCTGGTCCCAGCTACTACTGATTTATTGTGTGACTTTGGACAAGGATCTCAATCTGCCAGGCTGTTAGCCATCAAATGACCTGGTTGGACTACCCTGTCCAATAGCTCCTAAGATGCACAGTTTCCCACACTTAACGCTCTGAAATTTGAGGTGTGTTCTACAACTGATGGTCTTCAATTATTGCTGACCCAGCAGCAGTCAAGATACACTTGTCATTGCCTACATATGTGTAAATATCAAAATCACCAGCCTCGAAACAAGCGAAATGGGAGTCAGGGATTTGGAAAATATCCCAGGGATTTTTAAAAATATAGTGGAACACTCTTTAAAAAAAACTAGTGGGGAGGGAGTAGTAGAGGTAGTGATTCAGGTGGTGTGTAGCATCCCTCCCAAAGGAAGGTCCAGGTTAGGTCAGGTCCACAGAATGTACGGAGTGGGTTTAAGAGCCAACAAGAAAGGTTTTAGTTCAGATTTTTAAAAATTACCACTCTTGATGGCACAGAAGAGATACTGTGTGGAAAAAAACAAAGCACCGATGAATGTGAGTCAATAAGAGATTCAAAAAGTTGGAATCCAAACATGAAGAAGCTTTAACAATATTAACCAATTCATTTCACTTCCATTCCCCCTCTTTTTTCAAATGTATGCACAGAGGTAATATATGATTTCAAAAAATCTATGTGTATTCATAGCAGCTTTATTTGTAATAGCCAAAACTGTAAACAACCTAAATGATCCTTAGGGTGTGAGTGGATAAACAAATTGTGATACATCCACATAATGGAATCTAGTC